GTACTGCAGCGAGGTATGAAAGATCAGCAAGTGAAACTTACATGTGTTCGGTGGAAACCTGGTTAAGGCTATGCGCCAGCTGAGTCACTAGACTCTCATCTCGACACACCAGCAGGCTGCTGACCTCTTCTGAGATCCTTCCATTGTAGAGGAGGCTCTTAGCAGTGGTGGCAGGTAGGGGAGAAGGCAAAGGAAGCTGGTTCAACACTGAAAGGACAGTTAAAAGAAAATCATACCATAAAACTGTACAGGGAAATGCCTGTAAGGACACCCAACTTACATGCACTATGTAGAAGTATTGTAAAAGTAACACTTTGTTTGGCAATGCACTATTTAAATTTGCAGCAACACTCTAATCTGGATAAACAATCCAAAGGTTTCAGAATGTGTATTAAATGTAATGATGCACACAATATATTTTACATATGTTTCTTTTTACATTTCTGAAACTGATATAGGGCACATAAATCTATAACCTCTGAAATGACAATAACTAGTATTCAGGCGTTCTTATAACTATATGCCCAGTTAATTTCAGCCTGCTTGGCATTCAAGTAATCACTAGTCTTGCCTCATTTTAGTCTGAATTCTAGTGTTTAAGCTGTGATGATGTTGCACTTACAGTCTGTTAGGCTAGCAATTCCAGCAAGAGTAGTGATGGGAACATGAGGCATGTCACCATTCATGCTGAAGATGAGGTCAAGAGGTCGTGTCAATGCACAGGTTGGTCAATATCACCAATCGTCCTATATGTCACATCGCCAAAGTGCTGCAAAAGACAGAAAAAAAAAGTGGCAACAAGACTGGATTAAGAAATGGCCTATTATTTTACAGACAGCTATAGTGTACTTGCTCTGGGATGGGGATTAGAAATGGTGTGAGTTCACGAGTGGGCATTATTACAGTGCCAGCATAACTGAATCTCTGAGGTACACGATTCACACAGGCCCCACAACAAGCCTGGGCATGGCTTTATCAGTTATTGATTTAAGGCTCTGTTGGAAATGCTACCTTGCTCCCCGGTACAATTTCCCCTTATATACATACACAACTTGAGGATATGCAATCCAGTTGCGAAATTTCAACCTGCTCTAAATCGAAAATACAGTGAGAGCGGAAACACACCGGCAATCAACTACTTTAGATCTCAAACGCACGTCGTGCACTGGCAAGTAGACTTGAGTGGTGACAGCTCTCATTTAATCACTCATTTAAAAAACACAATAAAGTGACACCGATTGTGTTTCTGTGTGTTGTTTTTGTGTCTCTGGCCTCTTGAGCTTGCTTGTCCGTGTTTATACTTTCAGTTTCGCCGACGGAACATACAAAACAAAATCCAAAGGCGATTTAAAAAGAAAAAGCCACTGTTAGCTAATTATGTCTCAAAATTCTTCTTTTGTTTCAGAGCCAGTTAAGATTCCCGGGACTGCCCGGAAACAAAACAGAGACATTAGCTCGTCTTGACAACACTTATAACTACATTAATACTCTGTTGTTATTATTTTAGTTGTTTCATACCCTTGCTATGAGGAAGAGCGGAGCGACGACGTCTGTGAAAGTGACAAAAATGAACTCGCGGTTAGCCGGCTAGCAACAACTGAAGATGTAGCTAATGTATGCTAACTGGCTAGGTGTAGCCTTATCTGTAACTTGCATTAGCTAGCATCACCGGGAGTGCATCAAACCCGGTTAGCCGTGTGCTGCTTATTCGATATCGCTCTTTTTACCGCACGGGTCGCGTATCGCTTTAGATTAGCACTTCGCACTTGCTGTGGCCTTCATCGTCGCATCTCCAGCTATGAAAGTGGACCTCGGACTTGCCTAAGGAAGCGTAACCCCGACCCGACGCCAAGGAGGCAGGGGTACAAAGCACAGACCCCCCATCACAAATCAGAATTACCCCCTCGGCTGATTTCTGTAACGGCTCCCGGTGGCTGTCTGACGGCGGAAAACGCACAGGGAGGTAAACAATCTGCCCGAAAAGAGGCTGTAACAGTTGAACCTAGCTTATTTACCTCTGGATGTGATGAGAAAGAGAAGTGGTTCTGGTGGAGAGGAGGAGGAGGAGGGGGAGGAGCAGGAGTAGGATGGCAGCTGGAGCAGGAGAAGAGTCTCTAGCTCCCTCTCCGTCCCACTGTTCAAACAGCTCCCTCGGAACTGACACATAATCCCTGTTGGCTTTTCTTTTTTTTACCCCTTCTTTCTCACGGCGGACATATCTGCCGTGAGGGGAGAGCAGCTTGGTTAGAGGCGATGCTAACGAGTATCAGGTCATTTTTCAGGACAAAAAATAAAAAAGGCTGATGGAGGGGAAATCAACAATTTACCCCCTACAGAGTGACCCTTAAGAAAAAGCCTTGAACTAATGCACTGTGTAACTTGTGTTTCATTATTGCTATCACAGAGCTTGTTATAATAATAATAATGTCTAGAGTTTTTTTAAGCTTTCTCCATTATGCTGCACTTGTTTAAATAAAATGATGTGCTTTTCTGATGACTTTTTATTTTATTATATAGATATATATATTGGTCTATTCAAGTGTGGACAGAAAGCAGTCAATCAACTGACTGCCTCCCACTAAAAAAATAACCACAGCTTGCCCAGAGCTACAAAATTCACTGCCCCCTCTTTAAAATGTTCTCACATGACCCAAACTAATTAGGACTGTAGCGGTTTGGGGACACGTGAGTATATTAAAACATTTATTCACACTACATTACAACACTACATAATAGGCCAGCAGTAAGCCATTTAGCTTCGGTTTGAGATACGTTAAGATTTAGTTTCATAAACAGGATTTGGTCTCCCTCTTGTGGAGGAAAAGTCAAGTTATCCCATATTAAACGCAAACAGCCTCCCCTGCGTCACTCCCCACAACCTCTCTGTCTCTCTCTAAAACTATCAAAGTTTCTGTTTTCATTTAATGAGACAAAAAAAATCCCTCCAGCAGCAGTTTGACTTATGAAAACAAACCCAAAACAGTAACAACTACTGTATAATTGAGAATGGGCCAGTGGAATGAGTCCTCTTTTATTTTCCATCTTCTTTTCTGTAAAATTAATAAGAAAAAAAGTTTTAAAATACATTTTATCATAATTCCAAAGCAGGAAGAACATATTTACTATCCATCCATCTATTTATTCCACTCTAGGGACAAGTTTGCCAGTCAGACAACCATCCACACTCACATTTGCACCCATATGAGCAATTTAGGATCACCATTTAGCCTAACCCCACTTTGGACTGTGGGAGGAAGCCAGAATACCCAGAGAGAACTCACACAGACACAGAAAGAACGTAGAAAACACAGAAAGCGTTTAGCTCACATTTTACCTTTAATTATATATCTTTAAAAAATTACTTTTTAGATTTAAACTGTGAAGAGTTTTTTTTTTAGCCAACCATCATTTCTTTATATTTTGTTAGGAAAATTTGATATATTTTCACCAGTTTATTGAAATATGCTAACATATATTAGGCATATGTGGCTTAATTCACCACTGGCCAAAATGCAGACCCAAACCATGACAGAGCATCCACTGTGTTTTACAGATGGCTGCAAACACTCACTATTGTTCCTCTCTTCTAACCTTACATATTGATGACTACTTGAAACAAAAGTTTCACATTTGGATTCATCACTCCATGAGACCTGCTGCCACTGATTTTTCAGTCCAGTTCTTGTGTAATTTGGCATACTTCAGCCTTTTCTCCCTAGCTCACTTCTTGAATGGCTTCTTGACAGCCACCCTTCACCTGAGACCATTTCTGATGAGGTTTCAGTGAACAGTAGATGGGTCAACTGAAGGACCAGATGCATCATCAGGTCCTGTCTCAAGTCTTTGCTGGATTTTTCCCATTTCTCAAGGACATAGCTTTCAAATACTGCTCATCTGCTGTAGATAGCTTTTCAGGCCTATCAATTCTTCATTTGTCCTGCACACCACACTGAGATGTGCCAAGTTTTTAGCTAAGAGCTCTTTGGGAGTCCCCTTTTTAATGCAAAAATGCTGTTTTGTGGCTGTCACACTCTGTTATCTTTGGTGTTTGTTTGGGGTTTTTTTTTTTTAGATTCATTTGTTTTTAGAAATGAGAACAAGTTATGAGCTTTTGTGACAGGCTGCAAGTAAAAAAGTGTACAAAAAGGTACAATTTAAAATTGGTTGTCTGTAATATGTCCACACAAAATTGGTTCATTGGCGTAGGTGCCTTTTTTACACTTGATGATTTGTAGGTTAAAGAAAAAAAACATTCCTATTTAAATTGTTAGGTACAAAGACTAAACTAAAAATAAGTCAAAAAACCTTCAGAAAACTGGAGAACTGTTCTTTAAGAATACTTCTTTGAAAATCGCAAGAAAGTCTGGAAGCAAAACATCAAAAAGCAAAAAAAAAAAGAGTAATAGCTCAAGACTTTTGCATAATATTGTATCTTTGCACTACAGCAGATGAAAAAATGACTTGAGCAGAACTAGTAAAAAACTATAAGTTTTGTTTTGTTTAGGAGCTGAGATAATCCAGGCAAATACTCCTCACAAATCTAAAACAGTGATACTGGGATCAGAAATGTTTCCTTTTGTTGTTTGTTTGTTTGTTAAACTTTATGACTGAAATTACTGTTTAGGTTTATAGTATTTATGAAATTCTTACATTACATTGTGGTAATTTGAAGGTATTTTATCTTTTATGATAAAGCCGTGATATCGTTGAGATACTTAGCCTGGTATTGTATTGAATTTTTGTATTACTTTCCTTAGATCTATATAATTTCATTAGGATATATATCAATAATAATGAAGTTGGTATACACACACAAACACACACACACACACACACACAGAGTCATATGAAAGGCCAGCAGCTGACGCCTGTAGTTTCACGAGTGGATAATAATGTTGCCGTAGGGTTTCACGGTAATTATTCCGCTTCAATGGGTTTAACCATGAGTCTCTAACCCGTGACGGTCATGAGGGGGTTTTGCCCCTCTCTGCTCTCCAGCACACTGAGTTAAGATATTTGAGGAGTGAAGAAACACAGCGCTCCGTGGACCCAATCTTTCTGAGAAGCCAAGCTGACCAGAAGAGCTGCTTTCTGAATCCTTTCTCTCAAACCTGGTAAGGTAGCTGGTTTTTCTGTTTATCTTACTTTTCTATAAAAAAAAGGCTTGTTAAAGGCATGTGGGGCATTGTGCTTTTATGAAAGGCTCAATTTGACATGACATTAATGTGAATTAAGGAAATGCTAATTAGGGTCTTCTTGATAAGGTTCATTTCACTGCACAGATGTAGGATACTCAAAGACAACCTTAGTAGCAGTCGATTTCCATTGTATCTATATAATATATATGTGATTTGTATTGATGTGCATTTAAAGTCTGTAAGATAGCATCAGTCAACACAAAGACAGAGAGAATAGACAGAAGAGATGCAGCCAAGTCTGGTGTATACACTGGACAGAGACGCAGAGTGGAAAAAGCAAGTGATCCAAAGCTTGGAACCCCTACACAGTTACACTTTTGTGTTATTTTAAAAGTTTTAATAATTGTATCAAGACATACTGGCTTTACATTACAGGCTATTAAAGAGTGAGGACTATCTGAACTTAATTTTACCTTATCAAGATTAGGTACAATATAATATTTTCACTTAAAAAATTTGCATGCTGGGTAGATAATAATGATTTCACAGTGCAGAGCTAAGCTTTATGGCATTTAATTGTGTCCAGACTATTCGTTTGGCAGTTTATGGACCTCCCTCTGGGATAATATCAAAGCAGCACCTCACATCATATCCCAGTTTCAATTATTATATGGCTATATAGGCTACAATGGGTTTAAATAGTCAGTCACATGAGCGTATTGTCTATTTGTTCCTTATAAAATGATCCCTTGTTAACTTTCAGCTTGATGTTGTGTAATCGTACACACGGGATGCCTCGTGGGGACTTCAACGTTTATTTTGCCAGCAGCAGGCGAGGAAACGTCAGAGCTGAGGAGTATGTGTCTATTGTTATCTTAAAATCATTGCTATTAAGCTACTGCCGTGCCCAAATTTGTATTGTTGTGAACACTTTAAAACGCATGCGCAAAGTAAAGTTTTTCTCAATTTGAATTGTGTTGTGGACCACAGGGCAGTGGGCATAGCTCTGCTGGTTGTCATCCTTGCAGCACTTCTCATCCTGGGCTGCTGGTACTTCAAGAAAAGGAGTGGCTACAAACTTATCAGAGTGAGACCATCACACTTTATTTATGTTAGTGATGTATGTTATTTTGATTTGTTGTTGGTGAACATCTGTAAAATGTCAAAATGAAAACTCAGTTCACCCTATTTCAAAGAGCATCATGTGTTCAGTTTGTACCCATCTTTTCCCAGCCTGTATCACTATGTTCTCATTTTGTTTAATCACAAACCCTCGTACACCTTTCTGTAACTTGCAGAGCCCCAGATCGGGATCATCAGGTTATACAGGAAGCCAGTACTCGGAGGCAGGATCTCCAGCAGAAAACAAGATGGCTCTTACTGATTTTGGCAGCTTCCGATCTGTGGTGAGACAATTACTTCAGGAATAATAGCCACATATACAGGATATAGTAATGCCCCCCCCCACCAAAAAAAAAATCACCAATCAGTAGGTATTTCATTTAAATTTTGTGCAACCTGATATTCCACACAGAGCCTCAGAGCTCTGAAACATGATGTAGAGCACGTGAAATCAAAAGCTGTGGATGCCTGAAGCAAGGATTATGTCACCAGACTGGAGGGAGGTATAAAAATGTTTAATTCCCAGAGGAGATGTGTATATGGTGGAAAAGTGAAAGGAGGATCAGAGCAGCAGTCTTTCAAATATCATGCGGAATCCCGTGTGTGAAAAATTGACATTTTGCATTTGTTGTAATGACACGTCCCTAGGGAAATAAACTTTGGCTTCACTTTTCAACGCTGCATAATCATATTATTCACATATAACTGAACTGTAGCTTTCATTTTTGTTGTTGTTCCACTTCTCTACAGGTTCCCAATGCACCTCCAGCCTATGAGAAGATTTCCTCTGGGCCATTGCCACCTCCATATTCCCCCTGAAGCACTGTGGCTGAAGATGGAAGAGGCAAAGAAAGACAATGAAGAAGGAACTTCAAGCTCACCTTGCTGTTTGAAAATATATAATCTTATGTCCCTAGCAATATAGTGCATTGTAAGCAAATATAGGTGAAACTACTGTATCTCTCACTTTGTAAAATTAAAAACTACACAAATGAACACAGCTTTAATACTATAGCTTGTTTCAATAAACAGTAAAACACTATTATTGCACATTTCTGAGGATAAGAAAGCAGACGTGCTTGTTTGGGACAGTTGCATTGTTTATTTCCATGCAGTATCGTCCAGAATTGTTCCATGAAAATGTACCTAGTAATTTTTTTTATTTTTTAGGGGGTGAAAAATCTATATGGTAAAAATAAATAAATGTGACTTTAAAACATTTATATGGGCTCAAATATGTAGTACAAATTTGTCTAGTAGTTTATTTCTAAAAAGTAAAATGCAGCTTTCAAATAGTTACTAGTTGAAAATAAGGACATGACAGACTGGATGCTGATGGATTTTCCTTTCTTTTCTTTCCAAACTTACAGACAAAAGTAGAGCAAGTTGTAATGATAAATCATAAACAATACTGGGACTGAAATGCTAAACTGCTAAAGCTCAACTTGAAATCTATTTCATCTACCTTCCTGTTGTATCAATTGGTTATAACACTTGTAATTACTCAAGGAAGGGTCTACACATTTGAAATCAGGGCAACCTTAGTAGTGTCCCCTTCCAGAAACTCTTCACAGTATACATTTTTCACCATGTCTGACTGAGCAGGTTTACATGTAAGACAATTAAATCAGAGGATAAAACCTAATGTAGCATAACTTTAAGTTAGGAGTCAAACTAAAGCTGAAAATGTAGTTCTTTAACCAGGATTAAAACAAGCAAAAATATATGAACCCTGCTAAAACTAAGCAGCTGAAAAGTGGTGTCTGAGCCTTCACACTCCACTTTAATTGGTTCACTTTGTGTCTGCCGTTGAAGGCTGTAAAGAGGAATCATGTGTTTGTAGTGCTCCAGTGGAACTGTTGGTACAAATCACCAGTGCATCCCGAGGTTCAGTCAACTCTGCTGAACTGACTGGCCGCTGAACAGTGCTCAAAACAGCCCCATCGGGACTAATGAGCATCTTGGAAGCTACACTTGTATGCAGACCCAGGGCTGAGGTCTGCACAGAGTGTTTCCCAAGTGTCTGATTGGTCAGTACAACAGGTGGATGGATGGTGGTGTTCGTTTTACTCGATGGGATTGTTTGACCTGGAGTGATTATTACAGTTGTGCTGGATGAAGATATGGTCTCCACGGTTGCTGTTTCAAATGTGCTGACAGTGCTTCCGATGGGTGGAACAGTAGCAACAGGCAGTGCCTGCATCCTAGAGACTCCACTGATGATTGGTGGAACAGCCACAGTTGGCAAAACCTGTGTCCGCGTGCCAGCAGGCACCGTTTGCACGAGTGGGGTCTGTTTTTTGATTGATGTGCTGCTCAGCCCTGAATGCATTAAAACCTGCGGTTGAGCGGTGGTCGGTGCTGCAAATCGGACAGCTGTCTGCTGAGGCTGTATGCCTAGGTCAAGGGTTGTCACTGCAATCACATGCTGGGCAGGAAGAGAACCATGCAAAGCTGGTGTGTCTGCTATTACTGGTGCTACTGGCGAAGAGAGGGGTGCAGGAATTGGTATAACAGGGCTGGGTAGGGTAACAGCTGATGGCCTGGGTACTACAGGCAATGACAGAGGTCCCGACAATCTGGCCAAGGGGGGTGCTACTACAGGTGAAATGGTTGATAAACATTTTGCTTGTGTAGTGGCAGCTAGTCTGACTGTCCCCTGTGCTGATCCAAGACAAGGGGCACTTGTTAACACTCGTACAGTTGGTACACTGTCTAACCTTGCTGTAGGGGAGACCAGAGTGGATGTACCTACTGGAGGTAACGCAAAGTTACTCACGTGTGCAGTTGGCAACCTAGGAAGTGCCGATACTACATTTGTTTTACTGGGTAACAAATTTGAGCCCAGGCCAGGTGTTCCTGTTAGTTTTAGTGACAAGACATTAGGAGTGGTTGCCAGCAACGGTGGAACGACAGCAGGAGTGCTTGCCACAAAGGGAGAACTTACAGCTGGGACACCAGGTAGCCTGGCTGGGGGTTGGGGTAAAACTGGCGCCCTGGGGGCTACCATGGCATGGCTTGCACCTTGAGAAGGTACTGATGGTCCAGTGCTTGTAGGACTGGCAGGAGGCACTTGTTGTGCAGGGCTAGAGATGATAAGGACGTGGCTGCCTGGAGCCAAACCCTGGGGAGGGACTACAAAGCGTGCATTGTTGAGGAGAATTTGTGTGCCAGCAGCAAGTGGCGTAGAGGTGTTAATGACTATTCTCTGCTGGATTGTGCTGGTTGCAGAGGTGGTGAATGGGGTACAGGTGGTTGTTGCAGAGGAGAGAGGGAGTTGGGTTTTATTGCGAGCAAACTGAGATGAAGAGAAGGAGGAAGAGGAAGTGGTTTCTTCACCGATACTCCTCTGACAATCAAGAGTGAGTGTGGAAGTTCGGTCTGGCCTACTCTCCACAGTAGTAGCTGTCTGAACAGGAGTGGTGATGGACACTACGCTTCCTGGGATATTAACATCATTCTTTATCATGTTTCCCTTTGGCTGAGCAGCAGCAGTGTTTATGGATGTATAACAGCCTGTTTGTGACATCAAGGATGCCGGGATTCCCTGGAGGTGAGAGCTGGTGCTGACTGATCCATGAGAGACAAGCTGGGAAGAACAACTCGTGATGGCATTTAAACTTGTTGCTGGGACCAGTCCAGTGGTAGTGGTGAAGGTTGTTGGCCCACATGCATTTGAAACAGACCCTGGTGTGAACTTGGAAGCAGAATGTGACAGGGCACAAGTAGTCTGTCCAATAGTTGCTTTCCCTGGTAACTGGATTTGAACCCCTGGTGAAACATAAAGATGAGAAAAATATTTATTAAATTTGTGGTGGAAAAGGTTTCTTTGATTCCAGCAAATCAAGCACTACAGTGAAGTAGTCAACAATGCGAGTCCAACACATCAGTCTTTTTTCCAAGCCAAACCAACTGTGAAGATGACATCATCATATAGCCATGCTGTCTCTCTCTCTCACACACACACTGAGTAAGAAGGCAGCATGACCAAGACATGTTGTCCTTAGTTGTTCTGCAAGATAATGCTTTCTAGAGAAGACAAGAGCAGCACACATTCCTGTAATCACTATCAAAATCACAGGTAAGTCATTTATCAAACCATCTTCTCTTCTTCTTTTGCCTGCATCCTTTTAAGGTTGCCATAACGAATTATCTGCTTCCCATTCTTTCAAATCAACCCTCTCCGTGCCCTTCTTCACTGCATACATGAACCTTCTCTGTGGTTTTCCTTTTTTTCTCCTGTCCACATGGCAACTCAATCTTGAACATCCTTCATCCAGTAAATCCACTATCCCTCCTTTGCACATGTCCAGGGCTCGCAAAATTTCAAAATCCCTGGTAGCCCTTCGGGCAGGGACTCTTCAGTTTTTGGTAGCCCAAAATAAATTTAAGTAGCCCGAATAAAAAAAGAGAGCAGTTTTCTGATTGATGTTTTGTTTCCTGTACAATATTATACATTAAAGTATAATATTGTAATGGAAACAAAACATTAATCAAAAAATTGTTGAAACACAAATTACAACATTGTATAAAATTACAATCATCAACTCAAATACTTGGTTCTAATTGAACAGAAATTTCTATGAACTTGTAAGAACTGTGTAGGACATGAATCAGTCTGTGTCAGATTCTGAATTTGAAATTTCCACTGAAGTCACGGGTAAGAGGCAAGTGGAACCAAGATC